GCCGTGTCGCCAGAGAACTTGCTAGAAATAGATGACCGGCCCCACGCAGATCCACTGCACCTGAGTCCCTGGGGTAGCGCCCTTGGGAGATCCGGGCGCTCGTGTCTGGGCACCACTGGGCGTGGCAGGTGGCATCTGCCAAGCCTCTGGGGACCGCGCTGTGCATACGGTGACATTCGGAGTGTCATTTATTGTTGATCAGTCAAGCAGGCACGATGTGGTGAAGAGACAGAGAATGAGAAGGATGGCATTCTAAAACGTTCCCTCTGAGGTATTTAAATGTAACTTTAAGAAATACCTTCTGGAGGCACGGAGGGGCAAGCACTCGCATGCTGACGTGACCATGGACAGTAAACTCGATGGTTTAGAGCACATGTGTCAAACACAAGGCCCGCGGGCCAAATCCGTCCCGCCAGGCCTTGCAATGTGGCCCGCACTGCGCTGTCATCACTGCACTCCGCTGCGTTTCCATCACAATGACAGTTTATGACTGTTCAGTAAACCATTCGGCCCGCGATTTAGGCTGGATTTTAGATTTTGGCCCCTTCTCTGATTGAGTTCGACACCCCTAGTTTAGAGATAAGGTCCGTGGTCCGTGAGGGCTGTTCTGCGGCTGACGGTTGATTTTTCTTCCCTCGTGCGAAGAAGTGCTCTTCAGACACTGATGGACCGATAACGCTTGATCATGTTGTGTGGGTTGGTGTAAATATTTCAGAGACACGGTCACAGGAGAACAGAAACTGCTGGTGAAAAGATCGTCTGAGGCGAAAACAAAGAGAAGAATATCAGTTGACAGCTAGTGGCATACGTATAAACTGAGTCTATTCTGATGAGAAGGAGGCAGATTGGACAACCACAGAGGGTGACCTAAGGTAAAATTCCCAACCGGCCTTTCTGAGCTGAGCAGAGGGAAGGGATCAGCGGAGTGCAGTTGGCCTCTAACCTGTTAGTTCCTTCGCCAATTGCTCAGGTAAAGGAACTCCTCTCGATTGAAGATGCCTGCCTTCAAGAGGTCACGGATGCAGAAAAACAGCTATTTACCAACGGAAAGGAAAGGATGGCGCCGCTTGGCTGAGGAAGTGTTAAACGCCGGTGCCCCCAGAAGGCCGGGCTGTGGCGCTGCCCCTCAGAACGCCCACCTCCCACCCTGGCCCTGTCCCTAGGAGCAGATGGCTTGTCAGGTCCTGGACCGGCTCAATTTGGAGGGAAGAGACTGGAACATTCTCCAGCAGTGTCCGCTGTCCCCGCAGGCACCCCCTGCCCCGCAGTGTCCGCTGTCCCCACAGGCACCCCTCCCCCCAAAGTGTCTGCTGTCCCCACAGGCACCCCTCCCCCACAGTGTCCGCTGTCCCCGCAGGCACCCCTCCCCCACAGTGTCCGCTGTCCCCACAGGCACCCCTCCCCCACAGTGTCCGCTGTCCCCGCAGGCACCCCCTCCCCCACAGTGTCCGCTGTCCCCGCAGGCACTCCCCCCCCCCACAGTGTCCACTGTCCCCACAGGCACCCCTCCCCCCACAGTGTCCGCTGTCCCCACAGGCGCCCCCTCCCCCCACAGTGTCCGCTGTCCCCACAGGCACCCCCTCCCCCCACAGTGTCCGCTGTCCCCGCAGGCACCCCTCCCCCCACAGTGTCCACTGTCCCCGCAGGCACCCCCTCCCCCGCAGTGTCCGCTGTCCCCGCAGGCACCCCTCCCCCACAGTGTCCGCTGTCCTCACAGGCACCCCCTCCCCCACAGTGTCTGCTGTCCCCACAGGCACCCCTCCCCCACAGTGTCCGCTGTCCCTACAGGCACCCCCCCTCCCCCCACAGTGTCCGCTGTCCCCGCAGGCACCCCCTCCCCCGCAGTGTCCGCTGTCCCCGCAGGCACCCCCTCCCCCGCAGTGTCCACTGTCCCCGCAGGCACCCCTCCCCCCACAGTGTCCGCTGTCCCCACAGGCACCCCCCCTCCCCCCACAGTGTCCGCTGTCCCCGCAGGCACCCCCCCCCTCGCAGTGTCTGCTGGCCCCGCAGGCGCCCGCACACACACACACACCCATGTCTGCTGCAGGGCTGAGAATCAGAAAGGATCTGCAGCGGTGGGGAGGTTGGCCAGGGAACGCCCTCCTTTGGGGGGGATCAGAGCCCGTGAGTGCCATTCACACTTTGACCGTGGGAATCACTGCGGTGGTGGCCCCAGTTTCATTTCTGCTCTGCAGCTGTGTCAGCAGCCCCTGGAGGGCTCAGGAACTCCAGATTGAGCCCTAGCCAGTTTGCTCAGTGGATAGAGCATCGCCTAGCGGACTGAAGGGCCATTGGTTCAATTCCAGTACTCTGTAGGTCAAGGGCAGTACTCTGTTGCAGGCTCGATCCCCGCCCTGACAGGTGCAAATATGAGAAGCAACCCTGTCACTTCACAGGGGGGGGGGAGGGGGGTGTGAGCTGCCCCTGGTCTGACGGGGGGGGGGGGGGGGGGTGCGGTGTGAGCTGCCCCTGGTCTGACGGGGGGGGAGGTGCGGTGTGAGCTGCTCCTGGTCTGACGGGGGGGGGGGGGGTGCGGTGTGAGCTGCCCCTGGTCTGACGGGGGGGTGCGGTGTGAGCTGCTGGTCTGACGTGGGGGGCGCGGTGTGGGTGCGGGCTCTGTCCTGGGTCCGTCTGTCCTGCTCCGAGAGCCACACGGCGGCTCAGACAGCAGTGTAAGGACAGTGAGGCTGCTTCCCTCTGCAGGTGGCTTGGGCCTGAGGAAATAATCCGGATTTGCGAACTGTGTGATCACATGATTGCTTAGAATGCCGCTTGGTGCTTTAGAAAACCATGTCAGTAGGGCTGGTCGACAGGGTCATCGGTGAGGTCAGCGTTCCTGATGACTCGTTTCTCGGAGTCTGAATTGGCAATGTAGTTTCCAGGTCTGTGTTCTCCCACTGCTGCCGTGTGTGGCCGTGCCCCTGAGATGAGGTAGCCTCGCAGAGACCAGCCTTCCTGTCTCTGAGCTCCGCCCGCTGGCCCCCAGGCTTGTTCCGCGGTCTGTCTGGGGCAGAGCGAGCCACAAGCCCTAAGTACAGCAGCCGCTTTGGTTCTCCTGTGCTAACGGGCGCGGCTGGCTCTCTGAGACCCCATTTCACGTGTTTACATGGGTTAGCTCTTGCTCTGCAAGATTCTCACACTTTTAACCAAATGTTTGTAAACTCGGCCTAACAAACGGTGCAGGATGCTGTGGAGGCCCGGCGGGGGCCGGCTGTGTCCTCGGCAGCAGTGTCGTGGGTGTCGGAGGGATGCAGTGAGGAGCACGGTGAAGGGATGGGCGTGGGTGGGCGGCTGGCACACACTGGGCCTGCCGAGGCGCACCTCACCCAGGCCTGGGAAGAGCCTTCTTGTTGGGAGAGAGGCGGCGTCCTCAGGAGACCTCTGAGCTGGGCCTTGCAGGAGCGGTTGGCCAAGGATGGGGTAGGGGCCCAAAGAGCTACAGGAGCAGGAGGGAAAGCGGGACTGGGCATGGCACGTGCTTTCGTTGATTGGATCTCTGCAGGCAGGGCCAGCTGATGCGGCCACGACAGAATGGGGGGGAAGCAGGGGGTCGCAGGGCGGGGGCAGCTGGGTTTGCTTCTGAGGCCGTTGAGGGAGGCCAGCATCCCTCCGCCTCCGCCTTGCTGGCCACACTGCCTCCAAAGAGGCGGCCCTTCCCTCCCTCTCTTCGCCGGTGCCCAGTTCCACTCCCCCAGCACCCCAACCTCACACAGGGCGGCTCCCCCAGTTTCCTCAGGAGCCTGGCCTGCCCCCACGCTCGTGTTTAACTTAGCCTGGCCTGCCTCGGTGTGCTCTCCTCCTCTCCATAGAGCTCACCACAATTTGCAACTAGTGAGAATAGGTCATAACGGTCTTTATTTTTATTATCTGTCTCCCCACTGGACCAGCACACATACTATGCATGGCGCGCGCGCGCACACACACACACACACACACACACACACATACAGTACCAGGGCACAGCCTGACTGCTGTGTAGTTAGTATTCAATAAATAATTGTTCTTTATTGAACTAATCAATTTTTTTCCTAAAGAACATTCTTAATGTCTTCTGCATATTTTTCAATAAATGAGATAAAAGACTAATTTTAATACAAGTAATGATGTCTTTCTAAAATATATTCAATTATAAGTGTGGTACTGACATACAACAAATTTAAACATCTCTCAATAAAACCTGTGCTTGAACCAATATACAGCCCCTCTGAGAGTTTATGATCCGTGTTTAAAATGCAACCAGGATTTTCCACTGCTCTTAAAGTTTTCTTTTATAAATAGCTTATAATTAGAGCTTTTGTTGTTGTTGTTTTTGTTAATCTTCACCTGAGGATATATTTTTTCCATTGATTTTTAAAGATAGTGAAAAGTAGGGGGAGAGACAGAGAAAGAAACATGTATTGGTTACCTCCTGCACACGGCCGAACCCAGGCCCGTGCCCTTGACTGGGAATCGAACCCAAGACCTTTTGGTGGGAGGGCCGATGTTCCAACCATGGACCCCAAGCAGCTGGGGCAGATTAGGACATGATGGTGAATGTCTAATGGTGGCAGAAGCCAGGAGAAGAAAACCTTTCAGCTGCTGTCTGTGCACAAGCCCCTGTTGTAAAATTCCCAGTTTGTAAAAAGTAGCTTTGGAAATGAACAGATCAGGTCGGTCCCTCAGTGTCCAGGCTAACCCTCGACCGCACATTCCGTAACAAAGCTCCAGTTTTAAAAGAACTGAAATACTTCCAGCAGCAAAACCGTGGGAAGCACCATTTCACTTTTCTCCTCTTCAGACCCCCAGAGCCTTGGGCGGCGCGGGGTCCTCCAGGCAGCAGGTGCATCGTCCCTTTAGCTGTGTGGCCAGTCACTAGGCGGCTGCCACTGCGTGTGTGCGGCTGGGGTGGGGGTGAAAGCTGCGGCGGTTCCCCCTGACGCTGGGCACGACCAGTGGCTGCGGCTCTGGGCGGGAGCCTCCGCCAGGCCGGCCAGGCTGACGTGTGTCTCTTGCCTCCCCAGCCCAGCGACTTCTCCGTGTCCCTCAAAGCGTCAGGGAAGAACAAGCACTTCAAGGTGCAGCTCGTGGACAGCGTGTACTGCATCGGGCAGCGGCGGTTCCACACCATGGACGAGCTGGTGGAGCACTACAAAAAGGCCCCCATCTTCACCAGCGAGCGCGGGGAGAAGCTCTACCTCGTGCGGGCCCTGCAGTGACGCCGGCCTCGCTCCAGCCTCGGCGCCGCACTCGCTCCCCAGGCTGCTGGGTGGCCCCTCTGCACCGCCACTCTGTCCGGGGCCGCCTCTGCCTGGCCGGTCTCTCTGTCCAGGCCGTTGTCTCCTCCTGCTCCTGTTTGCCACCCGGGCCTCCCTCCGTGTCCAAGGCCACCTGCTGCTGGCCGGTGCAGAGAAGGGAGGCGGAGGAGGGGCGAGCTTGCTCTCTTTCTTTCTGCTCTGTGGGAAGCAGCCTTAGTCTGTGCAGCCTGTTCCTGCGTCGGCACCGCAGTGAGAAGACACGGTGCAGCGGGAACACACACGGAAGCTGCCCGTGGCGGAGTGATCCACACGCACTCCCGGGGCCTCCCGAGCCTGGGCTCCGACCCGGCAGCGCACGCGGAGGCCCCGCTCCCAGCAGCCCCTGCTCGGCCCTTGGCCCTTCCCTGGTGTCCAGGGTGGACGTCTGCTGGGAGCAGCCCCGGAGCCAGCAGGGAGGCAGCGGTGAGGAGCTGCCAGTGCCTTCGGGGCTGTGCTTGCAATAAGGAAGGCTTTCCGGAAGGTCCGTCGGCAGAGGGGCCGCCGCTCGGAAAGAGACGTTTGGTGATTTACCCCGGGTGTGCCATCCACATAGTGCTTTTCCTCTTGCCCTCTGGGTGTTTGAATTCACAGTTCTGTATTTAATTCTCCACGTGATAGGTGTCTGTAGCCATTTGTTGACACTAATACAGATGATTAAGGAAAACAGCTGATCTGTGGGGAAGGGACGCTACCAACACTTGACACACACACACACACAATATATACATATATATATATTTTATATGTATATTATTTGCTTTACAGGGTTTTTCAGGGTGTACAAAGGAATGTGTAATTGTAGGAAAAGACACACAGAATGTTTGTTTTCTTTTTTCTTTACCTTGAACTTCTTTATAGATTAAATATTCTATCTTGAGGTGGCACATTCCTACAGTCAAAGAAGGGGTCTTGAGACCTCCTCAACTTGCATACTCAGTTTTTTGGATATTGTAATAAAAAAAGTATTACGACGAGACTGTGTGTGTGTCTTGGGGAACCCATTCTGACTGGAGGCTCAGCAAATTCTGAAGGGAGCCGTCTGAGAGGAGTCGCAGTTGACGTTCCAGCGTGGTTCCCCTCTCTGCACCTCAGCTCTCTGTGGATAACAAGTTACCTCATGAAACTCCAGAGGAACCACCGTTATCCGCTAGGCCCCCGCCTCAGCTCCCTCTGCCCCCGCCTCACCCGCTCACTCGGGCGGTGGGTGCTGCTGGCATCCCCATTACACAGCCGGGGGAAGGAGGCATGTCCCTGCGCCGGGGGCGTGGCTGGTGCATGGTGGGCGCCTTCCCACCAGCCGCGGCGGCCAGGAGACCAAGGCATCGCGTGGCGTCTGCACGTGGCCTGTCATCCCTGTTCCCCGGAGTCGGTGCCTTTGTGTTGCCGTTGACATACAGTAGACATTTGATAATAAATTGGAAGTTTGGTGTCAGAGGCCCTTGGTTGGGGCCACACAGTAGATAAGACAGACATCCAGCCGAACGGGGCAGGGAACGACTTAGGCAAAGCGGCTGGTTCCCTGCTGTCTCCGTGGAAGGAGACTCCTCCGGGTCTCCCTGTGGTATCACATTTTGTCCTCGCGAGGATCCCTGCAGGTGCGGGTTCTCAGCCGCCGTGCTGAGGACACCGGTGTGAATTTTCAAGACATGCACTGCCCGCCTGTTCAGTCAGAGGACTGACTTTCCCCTAGATTGCCAGATTAAAAAATGACAACAGTGTGAATGCCCTGTCTTGAACCATACATATATAGGTCATGTCATAGAACTGCATCTTATCGGTCACATCTCATCAATAAGGTTGCATCTGCTCGATTCATTCTTGGCACCAGAAATCCTCGTGTACAAAGTATAGGCACCCGATTTTTTTTGAAAAGTCATTTGGAGCAAAAAAGGTAATTACTGTTTTTCATAAATCAAAATTACACTTATTTTTTGGTCAGATTAGCAAACTATGTAAGAACATTTTTTGGAGTGCTGCAGAATCTTAGTAACTGGTTTACGTGGCCTGAGATGGAGAGCAGGTGCCAGGATCCGGGCAGGCTGGGTGCACACAGCAGTGTGGGAAGAAGCAGGACAGGGGACAGGTGCGTGTTTGGCTTCGGGAGCTGGAAGGCTTACAGCTGATTTGGCCGTTACTTTCAGTCTTGTCTTGAGCTGCCGCCAGGGAGTCCTCCGGCCTCGGGGTGGGTCAGACTTGTCTCTATGGGGGACGCAGCGCCCGGGCAGCCTGGCAGCAGGTGGGCCAGTGGGCGGGCACCAAGGCCAGGCGAAGCGTCGATGGTGTGGGGGAAGGAGGTGCCAGGCAAGGGCCCGCGTGGTTTGGAGTGTGGACTGTCTGTGCCCAGGCGGCACCACTGCCTCCCCACCTGGCAGGACTTGTGTTGCTGCCCCCTGCCTCTGCAAACAGCGGGGCAGTTCAAGGTCATAATTTCTTAGTCCTGTGACGCCCATTTGCTTGCACTAACTGCCCTCGTTTCCCACGGACAGCTCCCCATTCAGAGCAGAACACCCCAGCCCTCCGCACGTCAGTCCCCCGCCCCCCCCCCCAGCACCTTTCACTCATGTTTCTAGGGAGCTGAACTGTCCATCTCTCCTGGGGTGCATCACAAACTAAAGCCTAAAACTAGAATCTTTGCATCCACTGAAGCTCTCACATTTCCAAAAAGGCGTTCTTGGTAAAAGTACAGACTGGTCTGTGGTTTCTGTGAGCTTGTTGGTTTATGTTTACATTTCTACCGATCACTCCTTAAGACCGAAGCTCAGAACTGAGAGGACAGGGAAGTTTGAAAGAATTGGTTTCCTTATTGCTTGCTGATACGTGCAGCTGGGTTTCGGCGTCCGCTCACTAGGACCCGCAGTTTGGCTTTATTGTTGCTGTGTGATCGGTGTCAGCGATACACTGACTCCCTGCCCGGTGCCAGCTGCTGTCCCGCTCCTGCTCACAGCCTGTGGGGAGCGGCTGTCCTTGCCGGGGGCGTCGGGCAGAGGTGTCGGCTTCCCGGCTGTTCGCTCACGAGTAGGTGGGCCGCTCCCATCTGCATCCCCAGGTTGAACTTGTTACATGGGATTACCTCTCCCTCTTGGCGGGAGCCCATCGTGCCTCCTCCGCCAGACCAGGGCCCTCAGACCCTCTGCCCCTGGCCTGGGGGTCTCAGCGCCAACCACCCACAGCACAGCCTCAGGCTCCCACATTTAAAGAGGCGTTGCCCCGGGAAACTCATGGCCATGTGTGGCCCCCCAGCCACCCGGGCCTCACCCCCTTTCCGTGCTCCCCGGGAGCTAAGGCGCTCACACCCCTAAGGGAGTCCTGGGGGAGAAGCATCTTTGAGATGGGGCGAGAGTCCTTGCATTTCTCAGGCTGAGCTGGCAGCACAGCGGCCGGTAAGTATTGAACGTTGGATACCTTTGCCCATCTTAAATCTGGCAACGCAAGGTCGGGGCGCCAGCACAGTGTGGTTCAGGCGGGACCCTCCATGGTCCGACCTGGCGGGGAGGGCCAGCGGCCCCCGGCCTGCCTCGGGGCACTGGTTCTGTTTGTGGGTCTTCCCCAGTTACCTCCCTGCTCATCACATTGGGGACTAGACTGCCGCCTGGGGACTTGGGGGTGCAAACACTCAGTGCCTAAAACCCTTGCTCAGCGGGCGGCATGCGGCTTTCTGTGAGGAAGCTGAGGCTCCCGCAGACCCGGAGGCCACCTTCCAGGTGCCAGCTACTGCCCCCACACAGCCCGCCCTCCTGTGGACATCTGCCTGCCGGCCGCTCCCTGAAGAGTCATGCGGGCTCTTGGGGCCTGCACTGGGGGTGCTGCTCTGGGCTGCTTAACTTCGGGGGCCCCTGCCCCCACCGCCCTGTGCATGCTCTCATGTGACTGAGTTTTCTACAGCGTGTCCTTCCTTTGGATCCTCCAAAGAGAGAGATCCAGAATGGGGTGCCTGAAACGATCTATTTTTCAAAGTCATTGCCTTAGCCTCCATTGGATGTCGCCTATCACAGCCCCAGCCACACAGGCTGCTGGGAGGACTCGGCGTGTTCCGTCCTGCGGGTCCAGTTGCTGGACAGGAAGTAAGCACCAGAGGTGGAGGAGCATCAGCTGGCGTGGAAGGGAACGGGACAGCTCCTACAATGTTGGCCTCCTCCCGGGCATGCATCTGGCCAGCTCTTTGGTGTGGAGACAAGTTGTGCAAAGAGTTGGGAACCAGAGGCCCAGAGCTTGTCCTCGAGCTGCACTGGCGGGTGCGGGCGAGAACGGATAGAGAGGGGACCCTCCCTTCATGGTCTTCGGACCCGTCAACCTGCGGGTCTGCCCCTGGCCAGCCTGCGACCCCCACCGCGTCTGACACGAAACGGCCTCGGAACACTGGGGAGAGCTGCACCTACTGCACAGGCGACAGGGCCTTGTTGCACATGTAAACATGTGAGCCACTGTGCACACTGTGCTGAGAGCCTTTTCACAGCTTTTATTTATTTATTTATTTATTTATTTATTTAATCTATATATTTTATTGATTTTTTACAGAGAGGAAGAGAGAGGGATAGAGAGTCAGAAACATCAATGAGAGAGAATCATCCTACTGGGGATGTGCCTGCAACTAAGGTACATGCCCTTGACCGGAATCGAACCTGGGACCTTTCAGTCTGCAGGCCAATGCTCTATCCACTGAGCCAAACCAGTTTCAGCCTTTTCACAGCTTTTAAATTACCTAATAGAAAGGGGAAGGACATTAAAACACTGAATGCCCGTCTAAATAAGCCTGGTAATCCGAGTCTGCAGACCACCTCATCTATAGGACCACAGAGACACCGCATGCAAATGATTCCAACCTAGAATTCCATGGAGTTTCAGATGGAATTCAGACGCAGCATTGCTCTCTGTACGGAGAAATGTCTCTGCTGTGGACTTTGCTTGGTTTCCTGGTGGTTTTAGAAAACAATTTTATCTTTAGTTAATATTTTCATTAAAAATGCCTATTAAAAACATGATTGCTGAATTCAAAAATGAAGTCAATTTCCACAGAACAGAATCCTGATCAAGGTCATCAAATGCTCTGAACTTTCTCA